AACGGCCAACCGCCTGCTTCTCCAAGATCTCGGGGGTCAGACTCGCTTCGGTGACCACACCTTCGATCTCCACATCACGAGCTGGTATGTAAACCCTGTACTCAATCGTAAAGAGCTGGGAGGCAGCAATCTCGTTAGCCTGCTTCAGGTTAGAAACGACAACACGAAGTTTATTATGCCTAACCTTCGTGATTTCGGTCACGGCCGAGTATCGCTTCGTCAGATCAGTGGAAATTTGCATCAAGTTCAAAGGTTTGTTTTTGGGCTGAAAGTAGACAACCCATGGCCCAGTCGAGTCATCTGGATAGGCTCGCGATCGGGGGCTTTTCTGAGACGAACCATGAATGACAGGACGTTTTCGTCTTTTCTTGCCATCGAGTGGCAAACTGGTTTCATCTTCCGACAAAATGTCCATATCGTCTTCTGACGAGACGTCCATTTTGCCGTACTAGTGGGAGCGGTAAACGCTCTACCACTGAAACGATGCTTAAAACCACACAGACACAATAAACAGAAAAAAACTACAAACACAGAAACACAAAATTAAATTTAACTGATGGGCGAGAGAAAGAAACAGGAAAAAAAAACTTATCTGCTATACTACTACCACCGAGTGATTACACAGCAGCAGCGGAGCGACGCGCAGCGTGGGTGACCTTCGATGCGCGTGTGCGGGCGATCTTTGTAGTGGTGTGCTTGTATTAGGCTCGGCACTCAGCTGGACACACGATGATGGATGACCGGTATAAATGCGGAGGCAGATGCTGACACTCGATGACGATGATCTGTGTGCAGGTATGCGTGATCACGCACCGATGGCAAAATGGTTGGCGAATTGGCAATCGCAAAAACAATTTTCCTTCCGATGATGCCGAAAACACACTTTCTTCTCAGAAAAAAACTAACTTTCAGATAATTGTTTAGCCGGGTACTATGCCAGTAATCACTAAGCGAGAAAAAACTGATAATTTAAACCAACCGAATACCGAGAAAACTTCCGAAATACCGGAGCGCGAAACAAGTCGACTGTACTTCTTGCTAGGTCGCAGTGGGATTGATATTGGACGCTATCTATCATGTATGAGTTGCACATTGCAAATTTATTGCTATGCTGAATTTATAGGTCTGGTTCACTCGGCTGTCGACAAAAGCAGGCCACTCTCGATGTGTGCTACGCGATCGTCTGTTTTCTCGGCAGCAACCATTGTGTGGTCCTCGTCATTGTTCTTCATCAGCAGTTCTTTCAGTCGATGCGTCGGCGACTTTGGAAAGCAACCGTTTCGTGATGAGTGTGTGAGTGCCGACCACGTTTTGCGTCCATTGCTGCAATGGACGCGCTCTGACCCTCGTTGGCGTACAACAATTTGCCATACAATGAAACCACTGGAAGCGGCTCCAGTTCTGATGGAGGAGGCTTTTTGGATAGCGGAAGATAAAGTGTTTATTGTGTTGTACCTTTTGACTATAGTTTTAAGATGTATTGTATAGTGACCAAGAATCCTCGGCTCTGTAAAGTTAATTCGGTTGAGCCTTATCAAATAAATTAATAAACAAAAAAAAAAATTATAGGTAGAGTAAATAATTTTTTTACCCAGTTGATTATTTAAAATGTTAATCGATGAGTGCGTGATAATTAAACTACCTATAGTTATCATGCGTTCATTGAATAACGTTTCAATAAACATTGTGAATGAATGATTTTTTGGTAGACTTTCGGCGGTTTTGAAAATCTGGGAACGGGAATAGGGAGAGATTGAAATGGGGAATCTTTTCAATTCATGTTCTCTTAAGACTCAACTCCCCGAAAATCAAATCACATCCAAACAATTTAACACCATCATCTGATAGAGCAAACTTCCTTTATCGAATGGCAATTTGTGTTTATGTGGTAGTGTTTTGATTCTCGAGAATTTTGTGTTTAAAGCCATTGATACCTATTTCAATTGTTGGTCCAGAAAGATTTTCGAGCTACCGTGTGTGCAGCGAGGGTAGCGAATTGAATGAGGAAGAATACGAAAACATCTCTAAGGGGTAATCCATAAACGGAGTAATTAGTGCTTTTACTAGTTTTTCCCTTGTACATTCTAACTCAGAAATGTAATTTCGTTCATCCACTCATGAAGCACTTAGCGGAAAAAACGACCAAAGATTTTTGTGACTGAGTTTGAGTAACACAAAAAGTGGCCCCAAGTTAGAAAAAAACATCTATCTCTCAAAATATTAAGTTGTTGTTTATCATAATACTGAATGGAAGAACCGTGAATTAATCAAAGGCCATGCGTGCTCTCTCCGAATGCATAACGAAGCTCTATATTTACGGTTTCACCGAGTCCATCCCGAAGCTCAAAATGTTGTTTAGTAAGCAGAGCCGATGTAAATCACGCCTCACTCAAGAACGAACCCCACATCACTCATCGTGATGCGTGTTTGTGGAAGTCCAGCTCGAGCTCTTTTGCGCTCTTTGGATTTGACATCATTGCTCTTTATATGTAAGGGATGAACTAGCTCATGATGAATGAGCATCTATACGGCTATACTGAGTTCGAGGAGTTTAGGCAAGCCTGCTTGCACCTGGATCGATTGGTGAACAGTTTGGTGAAGGGCGATGGCATAGTAGTCATCAATTGACGTTCTTGGAGAAAGTGGAAACGGTGTTCATCCGTTGCATACAGATAATTGAGATTCTGTCAAATTATTGAAAGAACACTAGTCGTTTTGTGAACTATTACCATACACCACTTCCTATCGATTGGAGTATTAAGAATTAAAAACCATCATATCTAGATCAAAATCAGACCACTTTCATTCCGCGACCGACTTTGGTTTTTGAAATTACACCCCCAATGTTGCCTTAAAATACATGGTATGTTAGATTTAAACATATGGGAACTGACATCCGATTGGTGACCTCGACAAATGTCCAAAAAATACTTTTTAATAAATTTATGGTGGTCCTGAAAAGGACCTTTTTGTCGTGATGGTTGAGTAATGCTGAGCTATTAGGGTGTTCAATACGGATAAGGCTGGCGAGCTGTATGTTGTTTGGAACGTGGATGACGCGCTTGACATAGATGGTCCACAGCGGCACACGACGAGCAACTGAAATCCGATCAGTAGCGGTGCAGCTCGCGCTTCCGGGCAGCCTTTCGTCGTGTGCTGGAGAACAATCTACAACGCCACGCGCCGAAAGCACTGCTGCTGCTGCTGCTGATGTTGACTACTGGACCGCACCACTCACCACACGCGGTGATTGAATAAACACCGTTCGGTGAGACCTGAGTGAATTCGATTTTTAAATCTGTGTTAGGGAAAGCGCTTTTCGCAGTTAATCGGTGATAATTTTCATTATTATAGCAACAGTTGCACATTCGTGCAATTTTCAATAGTGACCTTTTGAAAATTGATAAACTGTTCATTTTAGCAGATTCCTAGATGACATTACAATCGATTGGCTTGTTTAGAATTAATATCCATCCGCTATTGGCAGAGCTATAAGTGGTCAAAACATGACCATTTTTCGTATAGCGGTCGATTTTGGTATTTTGAAATTGCACTCCAATATGTTACTGAAAGACATAATCGAGGGGGGGCGACTCTATCTACGATGCAGGAAAAATCGTGTTTTGCTGTGGTTAGCTGCGAGCACGCTGAGTAGATAGAAAGAAGATTGATGGCGATTCTGAAGATTTCGTGCAAAAAGATGATATGCGATGCAAGTAGATGCGAGATATGAAAGAAGATTTTTCGAAGATTGATTCGCTAGTGTGATATTTGTTGAACATCTAGAATTGAGATTTAGATGTGTCGCCCCCCTCGGACATAATCCTACGTCAAAATTATACTTTTTAATTTAACAATGTTTTGTATTATTTTTGAGTGTGAAGATGCAAAATGCAAGGGGGAATCAACTCTGCACACCTCAATCTGTGCCGATAGTTTTCGTTGTGCCGAAAGATATGCCAATCACTGTGCCGAAGCGTGTCAATCAAGTGTCCCATGAGTTTGGCAACCCTGAAGATTTAATGACTTTTGTGATTTTTTATTGTATGTGGCTTTAAATAACTGCTGCAGCATGGAAATTTCACCAGAATAAGCAAACCAAACCAAATCGGTTCCAAGAAGACTGATTGTAGCCCTGGTGCATACCAGTTCCTTAGCTATACTTCGTTAGATGGATTCCGGAAAGCTGGATGTGGTTCATCATCCGCGGCGTTGACTGTGACTAAACTAAACAGAATACAATATGAACCTAGATATGAACAAATACTAAATTAATTTATTGTGAACCAGCATATTACCAACTCTCACCAAAAAGAATAACTTCAACGGTCAATCAACATGAACTGACCAAGCCAGAGCTAACTTAATCTACGATACACCTCAACTTTTATGCAGGATTCCGAAGTTAAATCAACAAGATGAGAGGGCTCTGTTACCGCACAAGCCAGAATCTTCTCAAATCTCTGGGCGAGTATCAACATGCACGGTCCTGAAATAACACCACCACATAACCAAACATTTTCAACGACATCATTTTAACCAATCGATCCTTGGTCTTTGCTCAGAAAATCGAGACTACTTTGATCATTTTTGAGTAAATGTGAGTAGCTCAAATTTACTCGCTGCAAACGGGGGGCAAGACAGCTGTACTTAGAGTAAATATATTTGCAGCGAGTAAATTTGAGCTACTCACATTTACTCAGAAATGATCAAAGTGGTCTTGATTTTCTGAGCAAAGAAAATATCATCTGACAGCATATTAAATATGCTGATTTTGGTTTTTAATATACACACAGTTCTTAAGCATTTCTCTTGACCAGACCAAGGATCGATTGGTTAAAATGATGTACCATGGTATGAACGTAGTATAAAAGAAGATGATCGATTTTTAATCAGCCGAAAATAATATTCAATCAAAGCAATCGGGCCACCCTCCATCATTCATTTATCAAAGTCCTCCCTTCAGCTCCACTCGTGGTATAGATTATCCATTCAGCGTAATGCAGCGAACCAAGAATCGGGAAGCGATGGCCTGGGACACTAGCGAGGAGCAGCAAGAAGAAGACCGGGTTAGCATTGAGTACAACGGAAGATATTTTTCCATTCCACGCTCGCATTATGAGCGACGACTAACGCCGGAGGTAAACATGATTGTTTAACGATTGTAATACTTACTAACCAAAAACAACCTTTTTCCACAGGATTTCAATCAATCAGATGAGCTGATCCGATTGAGGTCCGCAGGTGCCTCCGGAAGAAGTGCAAAGACAGTTTCGTACGCCGATAAACAGGACGCCCAAGTCAAAGCTTCTGACACGCAGCGCTCTAAGACTTCCACTTCAAGACCACCCTTGGCGACGGAACCACTTCAATGGAGAACCAGTTTGGACCAAAGTTTGAATTTTTTGGAAAACCTAGAGGGAAACTTCCGCCAATCAATGAGTCAACCATCGGCACCTTCAGATCAAAAATCTCCCCCTAAAATAGTTGAAGAGAATAAAGGCTCGAATGTGGAGTCCATCTTTACCCTAGAGAACATGATCGAAAGCAAACAGACCATCATTGAACAACCCATTACCAAGAAAACATCCCTCCCGAGTGCACCTGACGAACAACGCCTCAAATCATCCAGTACCCTCGGGGCACCGTCCGCTGAAAGTCTGGAAGCACGGAAGTCGATGGAAGTGACCGAAAAACTGTTCCAACTCAAATCTAAAGTCGTAAGCCTAATCGATCAAACCATCAACCAAATCGAATCTGAACAGGATTTCACCGGGGAGGGTCCATCCAAGGCAATTCCGTTACACCCGAGTGGAGATGGCTCGAAGCTTGATTATCGCGCGCTTAATCTTCAAGTTTTGAAAACGGATTCTTTCGCCCGCAACAGAAAGGACATCAGAACCAAGTTGTACAGGGAAATCAAAACCGTGCTGAAGAGATTGGAGGATTTGGAATCTTTGGGGTAGATTGGGTTTTTATTTTTTTAGAAGCTATATTTTGTAGTTGTACTGTTACTGGAATAAATAATAATGATTGCTAAACTTCTTCTACTTTCCGTCCTGCGAGGCATTATTAGTATGGTGACACGATTAGGCAGTATTGACTAATTACGTCAATTTTTCTCTTGCTTTACGCACCCTCCATAATAAGCACGTGACAAATAGATAAATGGCATAAAGGGTGAAACCCTGCCCCTGGCCAGTGCACAATAGTCATATGACATATATAATATAAAACCACTAAACCGTATACACATGCAAAACAAATAGGCGAACGCTTGGGAATGAAGTGAGAAATAGTTTCACTGCCGGGAGGGAAACTAAGGGTTGAACACAGGAGATCCCATTTCTACGTAGGAAGAATGGAACGCTCGTAAATGAAATTTAATACTCGATAATAATGCTCCGTCTTCCACCGCATCCATGTGCAGGCTAACCGTAAGATATGGCATATAGGACCTACTTGTTGATTGTATGATTCTGGTGTCCTGAGCCAGAATCCATCGAAAACGAAGCGAAATAGGTAGAACAACGACACACTCATTTTGGGTTATTAATTTTCTACGAAATTCCTATTTATGCTTAATATATTTGGCGACTTTTCTAGCAGAAGTTCTGGATCAAAATTTAATCTTGTCGCAATCGACCCCATGGTACGGTTACTACCAGAATGCGTGTCAGCTTTCATGTCACGTGACTTTTGCTACAAATGCGTACGCTTCAAAAATGGTTGCATACATCGTTATGGTTCTGCGTTTATATGTGGTTGTGTGGATTTACACATCCATGGGTGTGAACAACACAAGAATTTGCCTTTTATTTGATGACATTGAATGGGAAATTCATATCTCATAAAAGGTTGTAACCTAATTTCGGGTTAATTTCGCACAAACCATTTTATTAACTCATTAATGCCTTTTGATCTATTTAGTTTACATTGCGAGTTGCGAGTTCATGTAACAAACAAGCGTGACGCAAAGTCAATTACATATGTATTTATTATTTGAAGTCAGCAGCGCTTATTCCACGTTTCTCAGCAATTGGTTAATTTCACACAATTTGTTTTAATAACCCACCATCATCGGAATCAGAACCATTTCCAGGTACCACACAAGCTGGGAAGCCGATTCAGAAGCACTGCGCTAAAGAGCTGACATTTACACCGCAACGCAACGCCTACCGGACATCCGGCCATTTGAGCAAGACCCCACCACTTTTCCCATAATTATTCCTGCGTTGTTTCTTCTCCTCAGGGTCACCCTGCTTCCCTGCACGAGCCCGGAAAAGCATTTCCTACCACACATTCCATCCTTGAGAGCGTCAATTCCAGATATATTTTTTTCTCCTGCTCTTGAGGAATTCTGCATACTTGATGCATAGTTGTGGTGCTATCATATAAACAGGGAGCAGTGCAGTGCTGCAACTGCCGCTTCCGGTGTGTCCTTTGTGAATATGATTGTCGAGATAGAAAACGAGTGGAAAAAATGCCATCATCAGAGAGAGAGAGAGAGAGAGTGTGAGAGCTGTCGATGAGGCAAACAGAGCATAAGTCCTCCAAGCAGCAACAGGCAGATCCGGGCAATTGAGGGTCAGGCAAATGCTGCGAGCGAGGAGTTGGCTATGTTGGGGGGAATTTTTCTTTTTGTTTCCACTCCAGTTACTAAGTGGGAAGATTTCTGATCTGCATGTGAATTTAGGGACTGCGGAGAGGACGAGGGTTGCTACGGGCTACATCGAATGCGCCGTGTATTTGAGGAAAATTTCTACTCTGGCTTTATTTCGCTTCATTGTTTGCTGTTTGTGTTTATATTTTGATTCAAATAGATAAATGCATGCACTTCTAATAATAATAAAGTGAGAGAATCTATATTATAAATCGCCTTAATCATCATCGTTTGATATAATTCCAGTGCACAGTGGTGCAAAAGGCCAAATCCATGAACTTTTTTCATTAGCACCTTTTACAGTGGTTTTTTTTTCAACAGGGTGTCTTCAGAAGAGTTTTTATAAATGACAAGACCCATTGAATGAAGTTAAGTTTTAGTTCGAAACTTCACCACAGGTGGTGCTGCAAAATCTAACTTTTTAGTTTGACCAGATAGAGATATAAAGTCTTCAGCTAAGTTGTAGGTTGCTTCATAACTAAAAAACTTTGTAGAAGACGCCATGTCTCTATCTGCTTGAGATTTTGAGTTATGAAGCGTTTTTTTATAGAAGGCCCTCAAAAATCCGTTTTTTGTAAATATTTCCGAAATTATTTGTTTTAGATGACTATAATGTATTGCAACTTTTAAATAATAAATGAGATTCACAACTTTGCTCAAGAAAAAAAGGTTCTATCTGCAAAACACAAAATGTTATAGGCAATATCAGCTCAAAAATAGCCAAATTTCAAGCATCCACAAACTTCAAAGAGGCCATGATTGCCATTTTTAACTGTCATTCGAGCATTATGGTACAGAACGTTCGTTCATCAGAGTAAAATACGTTTGCAAATAACATTCTGAAAATTTTGACTGCACAGAAGGTAAGTCAAATATTGTTTACTTATATGAATGGTATTGCGTTTTGTTTTCTAGATATTCTGCATTCATGTAATTTTTGTGTTTTATTGCTGGGGAATGGTTTTTGAGCAACTACCAGTCAAATATACTGAACAACATTAAAATGAGGTTATAGATTCTCTATTTCAGTTGAAATAGATAAACGAAAGCTGTTTTCAATTTGGAAAACTCCTTAGGAGATGAAAAGGTTGCCTCCGTTTGCAACGAAGTTTTCACTCATTATGGAATTGGACCTGAGCTCATGGTAGCAGCTGTCATAGAAGCTAAACCAATTGTACTATCGATGTGTAAATATTTTCAAAAGCTATGGCAAAAACATAACCGAACCGAAGAAAAAGTATATAGCAACGATTACTTTACCCCTTCGAAAAGTATTAATGGCATTCCTTCGTCATCCTCACCTGCTAAACGTGGCAGAAAGTTACTGGCATTCGAAGACAGCAGCGAAGTTGTAAAAAGGCGGAAGACATCGGATTTAAGGAACAAATATCCAACGGCTAAGTTAGCATATGATACTCAAATAAAACTAAGAGAGGAGGGTAAATACGATTCCGCGACTATTGTGCAAGATATTACATAAAGGAGTCCATCAAGAGCAACGCAAGTGTCGTCATTGTAACGTAAAGTTTCTAAATCTCTTGTTCCGTTTACAAATAATGAAGCTCTTGTCATGGATCTGAATCTGACGAAAAATCAATATGAAAGATTGCGTAAAGGTTCCGTTCAGCGCAACGCAAACCTTCATCCTTCATACCACAAAGTGTTGGATGCAAAGAGAAGTTGTAACCCCGTAAAAGAATCTTTGCTGATCTCAGAAACTTCAGCTGAAGTAAAACTTGGGGCTCTTTTGAGACACACAAACCGTAGAATAATAGAAGCAAATATTAATACCCTGTACAGACGGCTTATATCATCTAGTTTTCGCTGGAAATCCTATGTATGAGTGCTCATTGCAAGACAGCCTATATAACATGATACGGGGTATAAGTCTTTATTACGACTTTCTTAAGCCTGTTCCGACAATTAGCCTATTGGAACTAGAAAGCTTTCCACAACTTTAGATCCGTGAATCAGAATTTTTTTAACAGCACCGGCGTTACTCTGATGAACGCAAATGCAACGAACGTTTTGTATCATAACGCTCGAATTACAGTTAAAAAATGGCAATTATGGGTTGCTTTGGCATCTCAAAAACAAACACACAAAACACAACGGGATACAAATGATTACTAGATGAAATGATAGTACTTTCACCACAGACAAACAGACATAACACATTGAATATTTCTCACTTTAAAACATCGTCGCTAAAACATATCCCAGATCACATTTTTATGATTCCCTTCGGGCTCGAGGTAGACAACCTAATGTTCCAGTTCGGGATATTTTGGCTAGACGCAATCTGGAGTTTATGAAACTCATATATGTTTACTTTAAGGATATTAACCTTAGATTCTAAGTTTGATTAACCTTGTGTTTAGTTTGTGTTTTGTACGTCTGGGGTTTTTTTTTTCAATGTTTGTTTTCAAGATGAATAGAAATAATTTCATGCTTTAGGATTAATTAAATAGTTATATCGTAAGCCACATTTAAAACCTCATTCTTTCCTTTTCCCATCCAAAAAATTGTAAATCTCCACTAACCTCGAGACGACCGCGAGTACTCGGTCCAGTTCCTTTAACTTTAAATATAAGACAGTAATAATGTATAACGCAAAGGATAACTCGACTCTGTAAAGTTTATTCGATTGAGCCTGTACAAATAAAGTAATTACAAAAAAAAAACATATCCGCCATCTGCTGAGTACACTGTGGTGGGTAGTACGCTGAACAGATGCCGGTAGTGTGAAAACGTCAAACGGAAGGGAATTGACTATGAGCGCCACAGGTGGCGGTACAACCAACTAAGATACTTTTAAATTGACCGATAAATGCTTGTTCGATGTACATCTTGCGAGTGTTATGTCTGTTTGTCTGTGCTTTCACTGCCCCTTTTTGCCTCTTTGAAGTTTGTGGATGCTTGAAATTTGGCTATTTTTGAGCTGATATTGCCTATAACATTTTGTGTTTTGCAAATAGAACCTTTTTTTCTTGAGCAAATTTGTGTATTTTATTGATTATTGAAAAGTTGCAGAACATTATAGTCTTCTAAAACAAATAATTTCGGAAATATTTACAAAAAACGGATTTTTGAGGGCCTTCTATAAAAAACACTTCACAACTAAAAATCTCAAGCAGATGGAGACATGGCGTCTTCTACAAAGTTTTTTTAGTTATGAAGCAACCTACAACTTAGCTGAAGACTTTATATCTCTATCTGGTCAAACTAAAAAGATAGATTTTGCAGCACCACCTGTGGTAAAGTTTCGAACTAAAACTTAACTTCATTCAATTGGTCTTGTCAATTATAAAAACTCTTCTGAAGACACC